TTAAGGTTGATGATAGGGATAGTTTTTGCAGGGGTGCCGGGTTGGGGGGATTTGGGTTTGGGTTTGGCATTTGCATGTGCCAGCTGGTCAAGCAATCCCATGATGTATGTATGTAGTTCCTGAGGAGAGAGAAACCTGCTGCGGGATTTTATGATCTCATCGAGCGTAGGTAGGTTAGTACGTTAACCTGGTTAACTAACGGGTTAATTAACTGCAGAGCAATCTCTTGTTGAAGGGACGGCGGGAAACCGTGAGGTTAATTTAACTTTGATGGATAGTTAAATGGGAATAGTTACCGAAGAGCGGACATGAAGAAGAAAGTCAGACTTGAGAGGGCATCATGGGACATGATAAGCTATAAGAGAAAAAGAAAGAAAAAAAAAGAAGAAGAAGAAGAAGAAGAAGAAGAAGAAGAAGAAGAAAAGAGGTTCCGAATACTTCCAGAGCTTGATTAGTTAACTACTGTTGGTTGATTCAATTATTTATTCCCTTTGCCGCCGTAGCTGATGTAAAATGGAAGACTTCCATCTTCATTGCACCTCTCTCGAGCCGAGGGACAAACTGCAAGACGGGAGGAGGATCCGGCTCTTCTACCCCAAGGTCTAGAGTTCAGCCAGTGTAACTGATCGACGCGAGAATACTCTCTGTCTGGACCAGGGAGTGAAATGAATGAATGAAAAAAGAAAAGAAAGGGGTGAGAAAAGGAGGTTTGCGCACAGGGTTCAGGGTAGGTATGTCATCATATTCCACCGTAAGAAGGGCCAGCGTTTGGGTTTTCTTTGTTTCAGGACTGTGGGTTCTATATCCGCCAGGGCATCTGGTGGCCGGTGCTGGTGCGCACAGAGCGTGTGATGGTTTTTTTGGGGGGGAAAGGGAGGCAGATCATCAGCGATATTTTAATTGATTGCACACAAGGTGAATCCGTAGCTAACTAATTAGCTAGTTGTGTCGTTACAGGCTTACGTATGTGTTTTGGGAAGGACATTGCGGATTTCTGGTATCGCCACGGAATGAATTCGTCGAGAACGGCCCCAAGGTGTCGTAGATATGCATATTATTATTATTATTATTATTATTATTATTATTATTATTATTGCCTTGCATCGGGGGAAGAAGTCGAGCAGTTGGGCAGTGAAGGAAAATTCTGCCGTTGCGACCAGATCCAGCCCAGTCCAGCCCACAGGCAGAACCGTGGCTCTGGAGTGAAGCAGTCTTGGAGGTTTCTTTGCATAGAGAGGGTGCTGGAGCGGTACATACATACATACATACATACATACATACGTACGTGCAAACCATCCCCTTGGGCTATTTCGTGCGTGTAATAAATATCAGTGTCTGTGCCCGAAGACGCAGACGGAGGAACAAGCCACGATCTGCTAGCATCATGATACTGCCACTCACCGCCGGCGCTTAGGTCCACGGTCTTTTCTGCCAGATCTTGATCTGATGACATTTTCCACCTCGTCAGAATTCGACTTTGACCTCACCGCCAACGTATCATACACCTCCATCTGCACCTCCATCTAACACCTGCACAATACCCTCAATACCCGCCTCTCTTCTTATGCTCTATCTTCATCCACCCCCTCCCTGCCCATCTCTCTCTCTCTCTCTCTCTCTCTCTCTCTCTCTCTCTCCCCTCCCTTTCCCCGTGCATAAGCCCCATTCGTAGTTGATGGTTGCCCTAGCTCTCCCCCTACTTCTCCGGCCTCGACCTCGACGTCAGTCTCAGCCCGGTCCCTTTCGCCAACCAGCCAGCCTCCTCCTAGACAGCCCTGAACTACCACTCACCCCCAGCTCGCTCTCTCTAGTTCCCTCACACAGGCACCCTATCTGGCCCGTCCGCTCTGTCATCATCCCGTCGAATACTTAGTTCCTGCCGCCAAACTGTCTGTACATGTTCCTATCACATCTCCTCGCGACATCCGGGAAACTCTTACGGGGGCCAAAAGGAGAATCAATCTATCAGTTCTTACTTCATATTTTCCCCTTCGTCGCTTCTCGGACTCGCAGAAGGGCAAATAGAGGTGGTTTCGAGGAGGCACCGGTATACGTATAAGAAGGAATGGAATTGGAGAGCAGCCCAAAGCTCGCTGTTCCTACCTATTGATTCGACTTCCAGGGATATATCCACCTTCCTGTTATTAACCCACTGCAACAGCAACCCTTCTCCGCACCCGTGGGTTTAGCCGGTAGTTTTATTAGTGACGATCGCATCGGTCTCTTCATCCTGTTGCGACCCCATGGTTTTCTGGTGGTGGAGGAAGTTGAAGCTTCCCCTAGCTAGCTAGGTTTCCGCCCGATACATCAACACCCAAGGTTACTGTGCAACGTTTTCAAAAAACAAAAACAAAAATAAAAATAAAAATAAAAAACTGCCAACCTTCTCTCTTTCTTCCTCCGTTGTACTGTACTTCCCGCATGCCGATGGACAGAAGGATGGATATTTTCTCGCTGTTGTCGCCGCAGGACTCGCCCTCGGGCAAATCCAGTCCTGCTCCTCCGGCTCCCCCCAAACCCACCGCTTCTTGCTCTGGTCGCAATTCCACCCCGACTCCCACCCCCGTACCTGATACGACCTCCTCTTCCCCCCCACATCAGAATTTCCACAAGCCCCGGTCGAGCTCCGCCAGGCCCGGGATGATATCCTCCTTAATCAACCAAGTCTGCAACAACCCTCAGCTACGCGACACGTCTCCACAGGACATCGGCCAGGGCTCTGGGACTGGTACTCCTCCCTCGAACGAACAACAGCAACAACAACAACAACAACAACAACAACAACAACAACAACAACAACAACAACCTGCCCGACAAACACCGACACCTGGAATAGATGCCTTGGCGGATCTTGCATCCATGCAGCGCCCCCAGCCACACCGGGCAAACCCTTCGATAATAAGGAATACCAGCACAGAAATCCCTGAGAGCCAGATGTCCCCGTCTCCCCTCAATCCGAAAGTCAAACCCGTCCCACGCAACCCGAATCCCGCCACCCCTCGGTCCCATTACGATGGATCTGATGTATTCAGGGAATCTAGCAAAAGGGACTTTTGCAGCTCCTCACTGGCCCCGAAAAACCAGCAGATGGCCTCAGAATTATACACGCATATCCAGCAGAATCGCCATGCCTACGAGTCCCGCGTGAAATTCATCCGTTTGCTCCACCAGGGTTTCGTGGAGCACGTCTACCCGCCCTCCTCACCTGATTCCCGCGGAGATCCACATACATACGACGTCTTACAGGACCTGCGTGCCGCGCGGGAGGAACTCGATAGCCTATTCGCCATCGGAGAGGATCTGTGGGCCGAATGGATACAGGATGAGAGTGTGCTGGCACGAACGGTGGATGAGCAGATTGGCGTGATGAAGCTGTGTAGCCGCTCCGTCGATGAGGAGTACGGCAGCACAAAACTTTGGATCATCTATGGCGAGTGGATGTTGTATCTCTACAATTCCGTTTCGCAGCCGGGGGAGGACGCGGCCTCCTGCAAATGGTCGGAGGAGGATAGATCGGCGGCGCAGACGGCGTTTACGTGGCAGTCCGTCCTAGACGTCTGGTCGAATGCGGTGGAGGCTACGAACTGGAGAATTAACGATAGCCATCTGGTTTGGGATCGGTATTTGGAACTTGTCGTGCAAGATGTCGGAAAGCAGCCGTCGCCGGAGAAATTGGGACATGCAAGGGAGTTATTTGTCAAGAGGCTTCAGGTACCACATTCGACTTGGGACCAAACGTTCCAAATGTTTTCCAACTTCATCTCTACATATGACAACAACCACTACGAGGAGGCAATGGTCGACATGACGAGTAGAGCCGCCCATGCAAAAGCACTTTGGAACGCGCGAGAGGTGCGGGAAACTGAGCTCCGCCGTGCTGTCGAGGCCGGTGATAGCGCTACAGAATGGAGCCTGTTCGTCGCATATATCGAATGGGAACTTTCCCAGAACCGCCGAAAGGGCAAGTTCAGCTTCGACCTCGTCTGCGCTCTGTACCAACGCGCCGTCCTCCGCTTCCCCATCGACGTCACTCTCTGGGAAGACTATATAATGTTCCTGGTCGAAGAGTCCATGAACCAGCGCGGCCGGCACAACGCCTACATCCCCAACCTCCCCTCCCTCGAGCGCGCAACTCGCCACTGCCCCTGGTCTGGCTCCCTCTGGTCCCAACGCATTCTCAGTGCCGAACGGGCAGGGCTCTCCTTCACGCAGATCGCAGATGTAAAACATAAAGCCACGCGCACTGGTTTGCTGGATACGGGTGGTGTAGACGAGGTGATCAAAGTGCATACGACATGGTGCAGTTACCTGCGCCGGCGCGCGTTCCAACCAGATTCGACAGACGAAGACCTCGACGTTGCTGAAGTGGGAATCCGCTCCGCGATAGAAAGTATACAAGAGCTGGGCGAGCGTCACAACAACACCGACAAGAACAAAAATAACAATGACAAATCCACCCCTCCACCTCCCAACGACCCTCTCTTCCGTCTCGAACGGATCTACATTCGCTACCTCTCCGAAAGCGGCAGCTGGGACAGCGCGCGAGAAACCTTCAAATCCCTTGCAACCCGCCATGGTCACAGCTACGAATTCTGGCTCCTGTATTACACCTGGGAACTAATGTGCTGGAGCAAATTTACGCAATCAGACGGCAGCGCTAGCGCTTCAAGGCGCACGCCGAACCCGTCCCTGGCGACGGCGGTGTTGAAACAGGCGCTGCAGAGGAACGATTTGGACTGGCCTGAGAAGATTATGGCGGTGTATATCGATCATTGCGAGCATTATGAGGATGCGGATGAGCTGCAGCTTGCTGTTGTGAGGGTTCGGAGGGCGATGAAGGTGGTTACGAGGAGAAGGGAGGAGGAGGCGGTTAAATTGCAACAGCAGCAGCAAGAGCAAACGGTGGCAACGGCGGTGATGGGTGAGGGAGATGTGGGTAATGAGATAACTTCTGGGGGGGGGAAGAGGAAGTGGACGAAAGAAATGGAGGTTGATGATGGGGGTGTGAATGGTTCTGCGAATAAGAAGGCGAAGGCGAAGGCGAGGGAGGCAGAGGTGGAGATGGAGATGGATATAACGGGTGGGAATGTGTTGGCCGCCCCTGCTTTGAAGCGGGATCGGGAGAATGCGACGGTGATTGTCAAGCGGTTGCCGCCTGGTGTGACGGAGATGAGGGTGAGGCAGTTTTTTAGAGATGTAAGTTGTTTTTCTTTCCCCCGTTCCCCTAATCTAATGACATTGTGATGACATACTACACTACAAAAATTGCATATATATGTCCCCCTTCACCTAACATCTATGCTTAGTGCGGCAAAATAAACTCCCTAAGCTTCATCCCTTCCAATTCTCAATCTCAGTCGCAAAGACAGACGAAATCAAAATCCAAAACCGCCAGCGCACAGGATCACCCAACCGCCATAATCGAGTTCAATACCCACGAAGACGCCCTAGCCGCACAAACGCGCAACCACAAGCAACTGGACGACTACTCCATCTCCGTCAGCCTGCTGACCGAATCGACGCTATTCGTCACCAATTTCCCTCCAGCGGCTGATGAAGCGTATGTTCGCGATCTTTTCGCTCCGGTAAACCATCAATCGCCACCTTCTTCATGTTCTTGCTTTGACATTCGTTTTCTTTACATGCAAACCCTGTTGTCCTGTTGGTGTAGGGAAATGAAATGACAAGCTGACGATTGTTTTCCCGTTGGTGTATCGCAGTACGGTGAAATCCTGGGCATCCGGTTCCCTTCTCTCAAATACAACACGCACAGACGGTTTTGCTATGTCCAGTTCCAGTCTCCCCATTCTGCTCATGCAGCGGTCGATGGGTTGAATGGGCACATTCAGCATGTACCGCAACAGCAGCGCATCCCCGGTTCTGTTTCCGCACAACATGCCACCACCACCACCACCTCCTCCTCCTCCTCCTCCTCCTCCGCTGCAGACGGCGGGTCAACAACTGAGCTAGCGCTCGTCGTCAAAATCTCTGACCCGCGCAAGCGCCAGGATAGGACGGGACCGATGGTCGAGGGGCGGGAGGTGCATGTGTCGAATTTGGATTGGAAGGTTGGAGAGGAGGAATTGCGGGAATTGTTTGAGGGCTGTGTTGGGGTGGGAGGGGTTGAGGGGGTGAGGATTCCGCGGAAAGCGAATGGGGGGAGTAAGGGGTTTGGGTTTGTGGTTTTTAGGGATAAGGTGGGTTTTTTTTTTTTTTTTTTTTTTTTTTTTTTTTATGCTTGAAGATTTGCTCTGGCTTGAGCTTGTGTCTGCGTGTGTGTGTACGTGTGATAAATACTAATGTGTGAGATGATCGATATAGGAATCCGCCGAAAAAGCCCTCTCCCTAAACGACCAACCCTTTCATTCCCGCCCCCTACATGTCCACATCTCGACCACAACAGGCCCCAAACGAACCGCAACCACAATCCTATCGCACGTAATAACCCGCTCCCCATCCCCCTCCACCGCTGCCGATGCCCCCAATGGAACCTCACCCACAACAACAACAACGCAGCCCACAACCAGCCAACGCCCCCGCACCCTGACTCTCCACAACATCCCCGACACCCTAAATGACAGCCGCATCCACTCCCTCGTGTCCCCCTACGGGCCGCTCGTCAAGATCATCCTGCGACCAGAGAAACAGCTCGCCATTGCCGAGTTCGTGGATGTTGGTGATGCGGGGCGTGCGGCGTTGGGGTTGGAGGGGATGGAGATTGGGGAGGGGAGGAGGATTAATGTTTCTGTTGGAGATGAGAAGGAGGTGGGGAAGGGTATGGGGAAGGGGAAGGGGTTGATGATGCAGCCTGCGACGATGATTAGGAGGCCTGGGCAGCCTGGTGCTGGTGCTGGTGTCGGTGGGAGGGGAGGGAGAAAGGGGGGCTTGGGGGTTAAAAGAGGTGGGGGTGCGGCTGCAGCTGCAGCTGCAGCTGCGCCGGTGCAGGGGCAGGGAAAGAAGAGCAATGAGGATTTCCGGGCTATGGTTTTGTCTGGGAAGACGAACGGAGAGGGACGGCGGCAAGAGGAATAACAGCGTCCGTGAAAGGCAGGGCGAAGAAGGAGATAATAGCATGAAATTGAAAGTAGGGGGCCCGTGGATGGTTGGGTGGGTGGGTGTTTTGCACTTGCGTTTATTTTTCCTTGTCTTTTGGGTGTCTATCTTGTTTTGTTTGGTTGCTGAATTTTTCCCTGCCCGCTTATTCCCCTCACCTTTTCATTTCCCATTTCATAGTAATACCATCATCATCATCATCATCTTGTTTTACATCTTGCATTTTCCATTCTCCCTTCCCTCATCACCCAGACAAATCACACATATTACCACATTAATGCAGAGAATTTAATGTTAATTTCCTGGCGGAATGTTGGGCCTATACGCTTGCCTGTCCCTCCGTATGTTTACCCCGTATTCACACTTGAGTCTCCCCAAATTCAGGAGGCCATGCCAAGACCTTCCCCGTGACTCTCTCCCCGGAGCCTCGGCACGCCACTTCCGGTCCGCATTCAGATTAGCGCCTCCTCTCGTTTTTAACCTCAACCTTCGAACTTCCGGCGAAGGAGGTGGATGACACGGAGGATAGACATAAATTGATAGACTTATTAAACGGCACCAATTCAATTGGACTCGCTGCCGTTAGGGCCAGTTGAGAAGCGCAGCAGCCCACAATGGCCGCTGTCTGTGCTGTCTACACTTCCAGGCAGCTGACCCGGGCAGGTGCGCTGCAACCCATTGACACCATGGTTCTGGGCAAGCAAAAAAGACGTCAGCTAACCTATATACACAGCCAAACCACGACTCCCAACAACCATATACAGACGAGCATTCTCCTCAAGCCCCTTCCTCCTCGATTCCCCCATCTCCCCTCAGCCCTCCACCTCCAATAACAAACACCTAAAAGTCTCCCAGCCCGCCGCTCCCAAAATCTCCCGTGGCTCCCTGGCCCCAGGCTCCATCTTCGCCGATGAAGACGAAATAGTCCCCAGCCCCCACGTGTCCACCGATTCCCGCAAGCCTCAGCGCCGAGCCCCCACCGCCAAAGACACAGAAGCCCCAGGCAAAACCTACGCCAAGCCCACCGAGCCAAAAATGCAACACATCCCCCTCAGCGAGCGGGACGTGGACAGCCTCTCCCGCGCCCTCGTGCCCTTTCCCAACCGGCGCGCCCGCTGGGAACGGAAGATGGTAATTCGCTCGATAAGGCGGCGCGGCCGGCTGACGCGGCGCGAGGCCATAGCGCGCACAGAGCGCGAGTCGCTGAGCAAGAGCCATTTCTTCAAGACGAGCGTGAAGAAGCTGACGATGGTTGCGCGGCAGATTGCGGGAAAGAATATCGACGAGGCCATTTTGCAGATGCGGTTTAGTGCCAAGAAGGTGGCGAAGGATGTCAAGGCGCATCTTGAGCAGGCCAGGGATGAGGCCATCGTTGTGCACGGGATGGGCTTGGGGAAGTGTCAGGCGCCTGCTGCGGGCTTTGAGAGTGTGGCGGCGGAAAGTGGAAGCGGAGGTGCCGCTTCCTCCTCCTCCTCCTCCTCCTCCTCCACACCCGTCACCATCATCCTCAAAAACGGCCAGCGCAAGACCATCACGGACCGCACGGCGATCTACATCGCGCAGGCGTGGGTGGGTCGAGGCACGTTCGGTCGCGAGCTGAATCATCGGGCGCGCGGCAAGATTGATGTCCTGAAGCTGCCACATACGAGTTTGACGGTTGTGCTGAAGGAGGAGAAGAGTCGGATTCGCGAGTGGGAGGAGAGGGTGGCCAAGGCGGAGAGGAAGCGGAGGAGCGAGTTGAGGGTTTCGTTGCCGGATCGGAAGATTTACGGGCAGAGGCAGTATTATAGTTGGTAGGGGGCGATCGGTTTTGTTTTGTGGGGGGGGGAGGGTAAATTGTGTATAAAAGTTCATCTTACAAGATCTCATTTTTCACTAAGATTTGGGTTCGTAACTGGGCCCTCAGGCACAAGTAAATTCTTTCTTTTAGAAATTTGTTTAATTACCTAATTTTCGTCTCTTCTGCATCCCGCTTTTGAGTAGTTTCTTCTAAAGGACTCTCAATGCAGTGCAAAACTCAACGTAGCGAAAATTCTCGTAGAATTGATACTATATGTTCCATTGTGATATTTTCCGTGCCCAAATCTAGCCAGTTCTCAAAGTTTTGAACAATAATTTACCAAGGGCAAACTCAGCGCACTTGTTGTCGAGTCGTTAAAAACTGATAAAAAAGATGAGACTACAGGTATATAAACATCCCATCCATTTGCTTAATCACCGAACAAACGCCCGCGTGGCTTAGTGGTAAAGCGTATCACTAGTAATGATAAGATCCTCAGTTCGATTCTGAGTGTGGGCAAATTCAAGTTTCGTTGGTTTTAATATCTTTTTGGGCCCGGTTTTAGTTTAGAAAAGGTGTAGGAAAAGGGGTCTCGGTCTGGCTCGGTAGGGGAAAGGTCACCGAATCCCGAAACATCGCTTCGTTACCCTACATACAGTCTGTCGGTTGGGTTCCCTCTTCATCGCCAGGAAGTTGGGCTTAAAAATATTCTTCTGAGTGTGCCTGCGGTGTTGTTGTTTCTGCGACAAAGCCTTTTTTTCAATCCTCGCTGGATGTGAAAATAGGACTTTTCGCGAAATTGGCGGGACGTTCACGAATGAAATCCAGAGCCCTGCGGAGGGTTTTTATTTTATTTTATCTTATCTTATTTTATTTTATTTTATTTTATCCATGACCCCGCCCATATGTAATGGTTAACGGCGATTTAAAGGATAAGGGGGAAATGGTTGATATAAAATTGGGGTCGGTAATCTGCTAAACGGGGGTGTATTGACCGAGATGGTATTGAAACATGGCGCAACAGAGCTGGGGACATGATGCTATTTTATGTTGAAGATAGCCTGCCGGTGAACTTATCTGGCAGATGTGATGGCCAGTAAGATACGGCATGGAATGGACAACATGTAATTTCTTTTTTGGAAAAAGAGAAAAGAATAGAAAAGGAAAACGAAAATAATAGAAAAAAATTGGGCGGTAAATAAAACATGGGAAAGGGGAGCGGTTGGGAAGAGGTCCTCTAAGCGCCCAGTCACAGCCTGACAAATTACAATGGGTTGGTGAGCGCAACTAAATAGTATAGCGAGTGCAGGGGATAAATAATAAACAACATAATAAAGCAAAGTGGTAACGAAAAGTTCCGAGCCCGCACAACAGGGTTGACCCAACTGGAGCATGGCAAGGTCAAAAGAACTCCTCCTTATCCTGAAACGGCCAACCTCGTTTTATCTTGTCAAACTCGACCGGATCAGCATTTTCCAAAAGCCTCTCTTTCAGCTCCCGGTTCTGCATTGCCGCTTGCTCATAAACCTCTGTCCTCACCCAGCCATTGTCGCTCATTCCACCTATCCCTTCTCGCCAGCAGTTGACCAGGCCTGTAAAGTCAAAAAATATGGGCTCATGAGCTTCTTGCTCTTTCACCTCGGCGGCCGTAAAAGTTATAGGGCAAGTCTCCCAGCTACGTTCCTGGAGCAGAGCCCACCATTCGCACATCTGGATAAGAGCACCTCGTAAGGATATCAGGCTGCCATTCCATTGACGGCCGGCATAATCCACCAGTTGTTTGCGTGGCTCAAGTAATGAATTAGCACAAGAAATCATATGAATATGGTTTTTCGCGCGATTGAACACGTCGTAAAAATAGTACAGGTATCGTCGCCGGAGTAATTCGTCAACCTGGGCCTTCGCTTCAGGATCCAGTGACTCATATCCATCGGGTGGTTGAGGGGCACCAGGTGTTGGTGGCGGTGTGCCGTCGGGGCTTTTGAAAAGGCGTGGATGGCCGGAAGCTAGCAATCGAGGTATAATCACCGCATGCTGCCAGTCAATGATCCCACTGATTTTAAACGTTTCTGGGGATATAAAGACATCGCTGGGTGTAAGATCTTTGTCATTGTAAGCATCCGCCGAACTTCTACAGTCCTAAAAAGAAAAGAAGACAAAAAAAGTCCACATTATGCATACCTGGATGGCGCAGCGTTGGTGAATTGCCAGGGTGTCTGGTATCCCTTGGCAAGAGAAAAGGGGACATTGAGATATATTTTTCAAGCAGAGCGCAATATGCGCCAGGGTAAACCATTCCCGGCTGAATTTTGTTGAAAGGAAAGTCTCCCTCAAGCGGCTTTCCGTACCTGTAGGTCCATTCTAGTTCACGTTTCCCGATGGCTGCAAGATATTCATGCGGGTTACGCCCTAGGATAGTTAGCGGGTCAGCTTACATCCCAGGAGCATCGACTGTTTCAAATGAGTGGTTTCCTTTACATGGTCCACGATCCACTTGCATCTCGGCCCGTTTGCCATACCAAAACCTGTAATCCACGGACGGCCCAATGCAGAAGATGTCAGAATCTCCCAATGGATCTTTAACCCCATGGACGTAGAGGTTCGACTGCAATTTGGGAGGAATATTCTTCTTGAAATATATGCTTCCGTATGAGCCGAAGGGAATGTTGAAGAGTATCCTCTCCACTTCGACGATCTGGATAGCCACAGTGGTTTGCTCTTGTCTCGTCAAGTTGTACCATTTGGTGTCCAGGCCAACGCCAGAAACATAGTCCATGATGATATATTCGGTCCCGACTTCGTTATCGGCCACCGATGACCAGCCATAGACCTTGGGAACGGGAACACCTTTTGTGCGAAGAAATGCGAGGGTTGCAACCTCGCTGGCGGTGGCATACTGTTTGGGGAACGAGTTGTGGAAGGGGATTTTGACAATAACCTGAAGGCCATCATCTAGAGCAAGGAGGAAAACCCGATTGAAACGGCCCTCTGCAAGCTTCGCGAGGCTGGTCACCCTGGCCCGACCTGTATGTTTGCAGACTGCTTCTTTGAGTGCTGCGACATTGAATTCAACGTATCTTTCCGCCAGACGCTTTGTTTCGTTGTACATGAATCGCCCTGACGTGTAGGAGAAGAGGGTTTGACGAATGTTTGAATCCGCTGGCCCAGACAGATCATTAGCGAAACTCATGAGCTGAAATTGGGATCTTTATTCCAAGGTCTAACCCATTATGGTTCGAGTGTCAACGCTAGAAATGCTCAGGCACGCGATTTGCAGGAGGGGGAGGGGGAGAGGGAGAGGTAGAGGGAGAGGAAGAGGGAGAGGGAGCAGACAGGATGCCGTGCGCCCGGCCTGATCGAGGCATCAAAGGGAAGAAATGCGACAAGCGGGCCGCTTCTGCTAGGATCCACCTCAACAAAATACTTGATATTGAGCGTTGAAAGAAAGACCACAGGACCGCATCAACAGATATTTTTTCGTTGATCGATGGATAAAACGGCGGACCGGTTATCCCAGTTCCCACAGGCACGTCGAGTTTAATTTAAATGCGTAACTAACCAGTTTGTAGTCAAGTCTCGAATCTTCGATCAACTTTCCTTCATTCTGTATGGGTGCTCACGGTTGTTTTGTTCCAACTGCGGGGCTGCCCCGCAGGTGCTAAAAAGAAGCACCCTAGCGCTTTTGGCTGGAATATCCATTCAGCAGTTGGTCACCAGCGCATGTACAGCCGAAATCCAGCCTCTGGAGCCCATTCGATAGATAGTTGGGTCAACTCGTCAATGTGGCTGCGATGCCTCCAGGGTTGCTTACGAAGTCAACTCTAACTGGGCTGTCACTAATTTGCAGTCCCCACAAGCGAACGGAATCCCCACAAGGTCGATTCAGAATATTCAAATATTCCAACCAACCAATACCTAACTGCGTCACTGAGAATCTGCCGAGTTAATAGCGCTGTGGGCAGCCTGACAAAACCAGAGGGAAATGGAAGCAGAAATGAAAGAGAAAATGTAGCACGTAATTGTATGACTAGCATCGACCTCATTCGCTGTCTGCGCAGCTGCTGAAAATGACTGGAGTCAACACATTCAATTGAGTAGGAGTTAATAAACCAATCACCTAGTCGATCGAGCTTTTGCCATCTGAAGTATTTCACATAAAGTCGAGCAACAATTATATAGAGAAAGCAGCCGATCACATCAAGAGCTATCTGTGCGCTGAGAGCTTGTACGAGAGCAGTATGTCCAACAACAACCCCCCACACACTGCGCAATCCTGGGCTACATCTGTATGGTCTCTTCCTCGCTTTCTCTTCTGCTTCTCATTTGCAGCTCTAATTCCCCTGCTTTTTCTTTGCCAGAATAGGAGCACTGTCCGTAGCCATATGACACCATTTCACTGGCTGATTCAGAACATAAATGGAAGGACTGGGTGAACTCTGCGCATGGTGCTAGGTATTTTCCATGGCCTCCTCAATATGCTGCTCCAATTGGCGTACATTACGTGGTATAGCAGTGGTCCGGGAGGCGTGGGAGCTACGAGAAGTCCCTCGAGGGGTGCGGGCGCGCGTCGGAGTATTAAGACGTGAGATAACTTGCTCTGGGTCGTACGGGACCAGTCCTGCAGCTCTGAAACTGTTCTTGATGTTGTTCTCATTTAGAGCCTGCTCATGAGCTACAGGATATATGGTCAAAAACTTCTCGTGGTCAATGTGGCTGATTCCAAGCCGTATTTGCTCTTCCACCTGCTGTTCGTACGCCTTCTTTAACGGTGGGAAGCATCCAACGTCCACCGGCTGCACCAGATGGGATGAATGTGGTGGCATATAAAGAGCAATGATGTTGTTCTCCATGCAAAACCAATCAAATGCAACTGAGAAATGTTTTCCATATCCATTCAGAATCAAGACTCGATATTTGCCTTTTGTACGGGGTAGAGTCTCCTTGTTAAACACCTCTTTCAGCCAGTACAGTCCCAGCTTATCATTTGTCCAGCCATTGTCACTGACTTCAATCACCCAGTCATGTGGGAGCTTCCCTGCCTCACTCTAAGAGGGTTGATGCTCCTTTCCCTTGAGGATAATCATCGTACGAAGAGCCCAGCCAGTGGCATTGATTCCTGCCACAACAGTCGCCCATTCTAGATTTCCAGGCTGTATAAGCTTCAGATGGTCTACTACCTCCGATCCAGTCACCATTCTAGCTGCCCCAATTTCCCCAATCTGAAATACTACCTCATCAAAGTTGTATATATCGTCTGGAAGAACCCCATTCTCCTCAATGTGGTTTCGTACGAGCTTACACCAATCACGAATAATCTCGGGATTTTCACGTAGAGCCCGCTGGCGACCGTACGAGCGTAAGGGCTTGGATTTTAATTTAGGACGGTGATTAATGGATCGTCCATCCCGGGATTCACCAACAGGAGATGAAGTAGCAGAAGCATCAAGGCTGGTAAGACGATTGGCTGTTTCCCGTTCGGCATTCACCAGGGGAGGCTGGACACGTTCATCCATAGAATCGCTGGACAAGAGTTGGCTCTTCAGGTAAGGTAAAGTTTCAAGTCTTCAGTTGAGAAACTCTCTCTCTCTCTCTTGTTGTGGTACGACCAGTCAATCGATTGTGCAGAGTAAGAAAGGAATGCTGTACGAGCTGGCAGCTTCCTTCACACTTCGAGATTTGACCTCCCGTTGAATACGTGAATAGCTGAAAGAATCTTGCCTTCCTGGCTGGAAGCTTAGGTGAGGCCCTGACGAAGATATCTCGTGGATGAGAATGCAAAGAGGCAAACGGGTCGAGGAAAAGCAGTCGACTCAAGTAGTTATTACGGTTGGCGAAACGCGTCGTCGCACGGCACGTGATTCCATGTACCTACATCGACTTATTTCTGTTGTGAACTTTGATGATTGAACAGCTGAGAAGGGTCTCATCTCACACAGACAGCCTTCTGGCTTCAATTCACAGAATAGGGGGTGGTGAATCTAGCGGTGACAGCAGCTTTGGCTCCTCGATGCTGCTGGTCCGCTCTACTTCGGACGGAGCAACTAGTTTAGTTACGGGGTCTATGTCTTCTCAATGCGTAACTAATGAATGCTGCGCGGTCAGGCAATGAACCCCCTCCATCGAGCTGCTGAGCATCGGCAAAATACATGATTCAGCAATCCTTTCATGGGCTGCTCCCAGAGAAGCAAATAGCCTTAGAGGGGAAGAGGGGATTCAAGGCCCCTAGATTCACCCCGTTACGTTCAGGGGGCGTGCGTCGTCGTCTCTGTTCCCCGATGTGCGTAAGCTGTAGGCTATTTCACCACGCTTCCTGTTCAAATCTGCTCGACGCTTTAGTGATCCTAGGCCTTTGGCATCGCTATGCCCCCTAAAAAAAACGGGATTCCGCAGTGGTCGTCCAAAATTCGGCTTCGTGGAACCCTTTTTGGGAAGATCTGTCATTTCCCTCATAGTTTGACCATGCCTATGTATGGCTGGGTGGAACCAGCTCTATCTACTGTTGAATGCGACTATGCAGAAGCGCACATCAGGTCGAATGACTACCTACATGTGATGGTTACATAACGGCGGCCTGTTAAATCCCATGGGGTAATTACTAATTATTTTGGACAATTGCACCAACGTCGGTTAAGTCTATTCAGATGAGGCCTTTTGGGAGATCACCGTGTTGTTGTTGTTGTCATTTTGGGTATTCGTTATCAACGACTTCATTCCGGAAACTCTTCCCCGGATCATCAATGCTTTGCAAGCAAGCACTGCCCCCAAACATCTTAATATGTACACCTTCGTCATACAAATTCACTCCTCTTCTCTCACTCCTCTCCAAGACTCCCAGCCTCAAAGCCTCTCAAATTCATGCTCCTTGCCCTCCTCCCTAGCCTTCGTAGCCCGACTAAACTTCCACGTCTCCAGCTCTCTCTCCCCCTCCCTCGCAATCACCTCGTTCTTCCTTGCACCTTCGTCATCCTTCATCGCGCGGTCAACAGCTGCATTCACACTGCCGCGGATAGATTCACCGACACCCTATATTAGTGTTTTAAAACGCGAGCGTCAGCTTATAACTCTTTCATGCTTTGGGGCACGTTGGTTTAGGCTGGTGAATATTTTTCTTTTCTTTTCCTTTCTTTTTATTTTAGAGAGGTCCCTCTACATACGTGGATACCAGCAAGGGCGGATTTGATCCCGTGGCCGACGCCTGTGGATTGTTTGGGGACTGTTTCTGTGGCCTCTGGTGCGCCTGCTGGGGGTCCCGTGGGAACCGCCGTTGATGTAGGGGCTGCTGTGGTTCCTGCTGTCGCACCCGTTGTCGGCCCTTCGGTGGCCCCTGTTGTTTGCTCCTCTCTTTGCGCCTCTCTTTGCGCAGCTGTTGGCCAGGATGTGGCCCCTGCTGTCGCTTCTTCGCTCGACATTGTCCACGTCCCACCTGCTGGTCCCTGTCGGGGAGGGATTGGAGGGGCAGATTCCGTTGCGGGATCTCCGGTGTGCGGTTGGTTGAGCAGCGTGTCATCCAGGGTGCTGGGTTGTTGGGATGCGGTTGCGGTTGAGGTTGAGGTTGAGGTTGAGGTTGAGGTTGTTGTGGGTGGGTTGTGTGTATATTGCGACATGGTTGTGGGGGGATCTGTATTGTTTTCGATTTCTAATGGCCATTTGTTTTGAAGTTGGGCTGAGGGGGCAGGAAGTTATAATGATAGATGTTTGCTTATGAGGTAAGGGCTATATATATATATATACATAATACCTTTTTATGGAGGCAGTTACCACTCCGTTGTCATTTCCTGATCTTGAAGCTGGTTTGACGTCAGGTACCCTGTGACGTCATTTTCCAATGGGGACGTCCGGCGCAAACTCAAACCTTCCGCGGGAGCCTGTTAAGGTTGAACCCAGATCCCCGAACCTTAACTTTTCAGGTACCAATTTCCCACCACTTCACGATTGTCAATTGCCGGACATTCGCTATTAAGCAGCTGGACTTCCCCAGTTACCCAGCTGAAAGTTTGTCGGGTGCTGGTGTCCATGATTAATAACTATGGAAGAGGCAATCCTCAACCAAATTGAGGGAAAGGAGATAAGAAAATATATTATTGGGAGGTTTGTATGAGCGCCACCTCTTTGCTATAGAGATATTTAGTAAATGTGAAAACACACAGAAAAAAGAAAAAAGAAAAAACCGTAATTAGAAGCACACACATACTTTCAACCTTCCTCATACTTTCAACCTTCCTAATTGTCGGAAGTCTAAAGACAAAAAAAATAAAAAAATAAAAAATAAATAAAAAAAGAAACCCATCTCAGACTTTTACAAGGGAGTCGGCGATGCTTCTGCTCTTTTCCCGCCCTCCTTCACTATGTATATTCTTCGCCTCAAACGGGAGAGTGGTGTGATATTGAATTACTATTAGGACACATATTCGTGTTGTGGGAAGGGGAAGAGGGTAACCAGCATATCGCAAATGAAATTCAAAAAAAAAGCGCGAAATAGGAAGCGCGATAGTATAGTGATGTTGTTGCTTGGCGGATATGGAACGAAGGGGGTAATAACTTCAAGCCAAAAAGGTGGAAAATGAAGCAAGGGGAACCTTTTGAACAGAAGATATATCGGTAGCTAGAATTGGCGAGAATGCCACTAGCCTAGCCTAACTCCAACCATTCATTCCAAGGTCCGAGACCCGGGTTGGGATTTAAACGGATGACTTACCATGACTGGTACCCAGTTGTAAGTCATCTGCTTCGAGAGGAGGAAACGATTAACTGAAAGAAAGCGGGAAGGATTCACTTCGTAGCTTGCTCGACATCCTTGTTGCTCGTCTGCTGGAAAGCGGAATCAGGAGAGAGCGAAGATGCTGTTTTCGCGGTTGATAGATGGTGTGGGTGGTGGCTGTGGGAATTCGGGGCTGCATCTCGTGCCCCGTTGCAAGTATGTAGAGCATTTTGTGGCATACTAAATGCCGTGCAGCAGTGCATTGCCAGGGTCCAGATCGGAACGGTTGAGGGTGATCTCGAATTCTGGTACGGTTTACTACGAGTTACGCTGGGAAGGGTTCTGTTACTGAATGCTTTCAAATGCGTAGTATGGTTACCGAATTTGCTTGGATGCAGTAACACGTTCCAAAATACCAATCCAGTAATATCTGCGAACTTGTTACTGCATTTGAGCAAATTCGGTAACTGTATTACGCATTCGAATGCTTTCGGTAAGCTCACTGGGACCCGGCCCAGTCTGCTGCCAGTGTGGAGCACTGCTGTCCTTATAATAATAGGGCGTAGCATGATCCATAAAAGCCCTGTTCTGATACAGGGGTCTGCAGTTAATAGTATCATCTGCAAGACCAGGGAGGTTTCCCCGAATAGTCCGTTCCCACGTCGAGAATCTAGTACGCAGGAGAGTAACGCCAGCGTCAGGTAGATGCCGCAAATCATCAGATACACTATCGTTCCCCACATCGTACCCGACGGGCCATCCGTGCAAGCCATTTCAGAAACTGAAACTGAGTGCAAGGCACTGCGTTCAAAGATACGCTGTGCAGAATATTGGTCCCATGTGTTAGCCGGATGCGGCTCGCTGGTGGCGCCGCTGGACACTGCGCGATCCGGTGGCGCGAAATCCATTGTGGGGCTTATGTGGAGGGTGGCTGAAGCAGGGTTGGAGGATCTGGCATCCTTGTATGGGTTCTGCGAATAGAGGGGCTGTGGCTCCCCATTTTGGATGACAGTGGGGTGTTGAATGAATAATTGTCCATGGGATATCGGCGCATTAGTCCCGCTGACGGCAGCGTGACTCGTTACAGGCAGGTTGTGAGTTGCGTCTGCGGTGAGCCGGCGAGCCAACAAAGTTGACAGCGCCTCTGTGTCGTTTGGCGGGATACCGTGTGATAATGTGTTTGGCACTAGGGCGGCCAGAAGGGTGTTGCGGCTTGGGCGATTGCGCAGAGTGTTGTCCCTTGCAGACACTGCAGCAAGTATCATATTCTGCCGTTGTATTTCTTGGCCATCAGCAATATCGGAATGCCTGACCGGTCTCGATATCCAGCCTAGTTCGCTTGCATTCTGCGGCTGGTAGTTACGGCAGCGTCTGAGGTCATCTGCCTTGGGTTCCCAGGGTGGAGAGTGCATATTACTAATCCCAGGATCGTAGTCCCATGGGTAATCGGGCAATGGCCTGGAGGACGTGTAAATGTTGCATGGAGAAGAGCATTGGTTGCGAGAACGACGGAACATAGATCTACGTGGGAGCTCCATCAGGTAGTCATCGGGATACGACGGTATCATTTCATCTAATCTGGAGCGACATTCACAGTGTAAAGCGCTGCAGAACTGTCCAGAGCAGCGTTGTGAAGTGTCTTCGATCGAGGTGAGATAATCTTGCTCTGCGGATGGGAACTTGTCTAGCCCATAGGACCGCTGTCGCTGTAGAGAGGGATGGTGAGACCGCAGATCTCCAGCCCATGCCGTCTGGATAACTCTCGGTGTGTTGCAGATAGATTTCCGAGTACATTTCATTTTTGCTTGCTTTCGCTTCGTATCCATGACGGGAGATGTAGCACAAGTGCACTAAATAGACTGTTAGGAAAACATGATGCCGCAATGGTGTTGGAGGACAGGAGGAGCTGTGGAAGAAGGGGAAAGGCAGTAATTTTTATTATTATTATTATTATTATTATTTATTTTTCATTCATTTTTCATTTATTTATTTATTTATTTTTTAAGAAAAAAGAGATAAAAATAGGGAAGAGAGAAAAAGCTTACTCTCTTGCGTTGCTTCCGATGCCATTCACAGGCACCCTGCTTGCGAACCGCAATGTACCGCCGTCGCTCCTCCTGGGTCTTTGGGCGAAGTTTCCTCGGGAGTGACGTCGCCTCATTCATATTGAGATCCAGGACCATCTGAACGCCGCCGGTAATGGGTGGTTGTACAGCTTGGGAAGGGCCAGCTGATGATGCTGACTTGGCTGGAATGCTGGTGTTGACGCTGGGAGATAGTTCTGGGAGGGCGCCAGTCGACGGGGCGGGAGATCCAGTCATGGTAGAGAATGACTGGGCATCGAATGACGAGCCGATCGTGCTCGTAGAGCTTTGCTGCCAGACCATTGGCGATGCATAGGGAAGGTTCTCTTCACCGAAACAGGGGCCCAGAACATTGTGGAGTTCGGAATAAATGGCAATCGAAGCATCCATTTGCTTCCGCTGCTGCGGAACAGGTCGGGGATCAGCAGCTGCTCTGGACATGACAATGTCCCGCAAGGTAGATTTAACCCAGTTGAGGCGCCGCCTGGGGTCAGAGGCGGATGAGGGTGACATGGTTTCCGGAAACGATGTATCAGGAGGGGAATCCTTGGAGCAGAAATCTTGGTAGGACAAAGGGGTATCAGAGCAAATGTAGGATGGGTCAGGGAGGGCATCTATGTGGGGAAAAGAAGAATCGTTCACAGCAGAGCAGGAAACAGGCATGGGGAAGGCGGGCTCAGTTGAGGCAGTGGAGGTGAAGAGGCCGGAATTGAAGAAGTCCCAGACCGAAGAGTCGTATGGAATATCAATGTCGGGAAGCTTGATAAACTCGCCGTCCGCCGCAAGACCGGAGCTCATGTGGGATGTGAAGCACAGGTCGTCCTCTGCAGGAGCGAGGCCAACCTGACTGAAGTTGACGCACGGGGTTTCCTCCTCCACGCGGGCGGATGAATACATGAATGAGGCATCCATGCTGTACAGAAAAAGATACACAGGGTACCGGGGATTAAGAATGAAGAGATGTAGTGAATACAGACTGGATAGTGTCAGGAGGGGATTGTGGAATGCAAATATGATAGCTGCACCAGCGTTTTGTTCTAATTCTAACCCAGACGTTGAGGATCAGACAAGCTTCGCCAATCTGTAGCCCTCGATTGAGCAATCGGGCAGTTAATCTCACAGCGATTCGCACGCTTCCTTCCACGCCTGATATGGCTCAGAAAACAAGGAAGTCAACAGGCAGCTCCGGCCGAAATTGGGGTGTGTATATGACAGGAGAGAACCAGGGGTCTCTTGGACAGAGAGTTTCAGGACCTCTCTCTTGGGGCAGAGGAGAGGCAGGTTGGTTATGACAAGTCAGGATTGGAGCAGGTAATCTTTTGTTTCGTCGAAGCGACGAGGAAGAAAGAAGAAGAAGAAGAAGAAGAAGAAGAAGAAGAAGAAGGAGAAGAAATAAGAGAACAGGAGAGCAAAGAGAGGAGAGAGGGAGAAAGAAGAGAGAGAAGAGGGAGAGGGAGAGAGAAGAGAGAGAGGGAGAGGGGAGGGGGGGAGCACACGAAACTTCTTGAAGGCAGCCGCGGGGAGCCTAACACCACCCCCCACAGAGCCCCCCACAAGCCTGCCCCCCAGGCACACACCCCAGGCACACCCCCCAGGCACACCCCCTAGGCACCACCACCCCCAACAAGCCCCCTGTGAGTTAATGGGATGGTTTAATTAATCAGGGCTAGCCGGCCCGAGCTGGGAGCTTGTGCCGTTAGGCTGGCGGCTGATTGGCCGTGATTGGCGGTGGCGGGCGGTGACTGGCGGCACCCGCCCGATTGGGATCCCCGACTTAGGGCAACGCTAAACCCATTCCGGTGCCCGCTCCTTGGGGAAGCGGCGCAGGCTCAGCGGGCCGGAAGCAGACACCAGCCAATAAGGGCCCGGAACGGCGGCTCGCTGTCCTCGGAAACCTTATTTCTGGCGGTTACGTCACGCTTGTTATCCAGATACCAACTAGTTGATTAGCTAACTAGTCTGTTCTGCCTGGTAGTTAGCGAGTGAGTCCGAGTCAAAGGGTCAATAATATCACCCAGCAGAAAGAGATCAAATGATACATAGTCAGAATACGCTGACATTTTAAAAAAGCACTTAGGAGTAATACACGTGATGCTGAAGATGATCAACACGGAAAAAGTAAATATATATTTTTAATGCATCGACTTCTAAAAAAGAAGATGGGGTGATTTCTATGTGTAATTGACATGACGAAGCTTTTACACTGGTTTCAATAACTAATACTAATAGATATGTTTACTAAAATCAACTGTTTGTTGTTGTTGTTGTTGTTGTTGTTGTTGTTGTTGTTGTTGTTGTTGTTGTTGTTGTTGTTGTTGTTGTTGTTGTTGTTGTTGTTGTTGTTGTTGTTGTTGTTGTTGTTGTTGTTGTTGTTGTTGTTGTTGTTGTTGTTGTTGTTGTTGTTGTTGTTGTTGTTGTTGTTGTTGTTGTTGTTGTTGTTGTTGTTGTTGTTGCATGAGACCTGAACAAGCAATTTACCTGAACCAACTGACGTTTGGGAAGATTGCATCTGATTAGTCACCCTGCCATCCCTGTATATCACAACTGCCTTTTTCTTTTTTTTTTTTGGGACATAAGCATGGCATGACTTGTATCTTGGGCTGGCAGTTTCAGGCCCCAGATTCAACCCGTCTTCCTTCTCAGAAGCAGGCAGGCTTGTGACCCATTCGCCCCAGAGGCATGCGCAAACATGCCATCCGGCGGAGAATCACTCTTGGCTTTGTCCATCATGACATTTCTCTGTAGGCATCAGATGTCATGATGGCCCTTCGCTCATGGCACCTAGATACAGATGATATGTGAGCACAGCGAGGATAATGAGCAATACAGCTAATTTGATGTTTTTAGCACAACATAGAAGAAGAAAAAGAGATGCTAACCATGCAGCACGAAAGCATCAGCAACGACGATGCCACCGAGCAGGTTGAAGATCAATCCTGTCGCTCTTCCTCTGAGCTATAATGTGTTGGCGCCATCGAAACGACGTTCAACTGTGATTCAGTGCTGATATAAAGGCAGAGAGAGAGCTACACTACCAAGCGGAGTGCAAAATCGCAAAAAAAAAAGTGTTGGTCCGTCGATCCATCATACAAAATCAAAGCAGAATTCCATCAAAAGAGAAAATTCAACGACTGCAAGGCAGAACAGCAATGGTTTGAAATCTAAGAAAATGGTGATTTGAGAGTTTTGGCCCAGGCTTATGGACTCACAACGTCTTAAGCAGTTTTTTTTTTTTTTTTTTTTTTTTTTTTTTTTTTTTTTTGCCCGCTGTCTTGGTTAGCCGGGATATAGAGATTGATCCAAAATTTGGCATCTGAATTAGAATCCATCTCATCTGAAACTGGTTGACTTCCCTTCAAAGGTCCCAGATGAAGAAATATTGCATGTTTAAAGTCACAAGCTATATCATCTGCACCTCAAGGTTACCTGTTTCTCTCAGTTCGCCATGGGTGCCTCTATCATGATCCAGTTGGGTACTCTGTGATGAATATGAACTAAACCCCTGCAGGATAGACACACACGCAGTTAAGGTAAATGCCAAGAAGCTAACTCACCAACAGCTCTCGTCTCGACGCTGGTAACTTCCTTGAATGGTACCCAAAAGTGAGGTGCTCTCGATGATGATATCTCTTGACGGGAAACATGTTTGCGGTGATATCATTGCCCGGCAGCGTCTTTAAAGTCGACAGTTAAATGCTCGGGCTCTTTCGGTTCGGTTCCGCCAGCGTGCCAAGATTGTCCGCTAGGGACAGAGGGTCCGCAGATATTTTTGGGGCATATCTCAGTTTCTAGACATTCCTCTATGCGGAGCAGAATCAGCATAAGCTGCGCGCTGAATGTGACGATTGCCTTTTCAGCTGAATCGCTTCGTGCACGTTGATATGTAAAACTAATTTTGGACTTGTCGTCAACTCGAGCAAGCACTGAAAGGTTTTTTTGGTAGGCTCAGGAAGTGACAAGCTAAAGTTGTTTTTGCTGTGAGGAAAATGCTGGGTTTGTATGTATTCCTTCGCAAGCAATACAGCGGGCTCCGGAACTGTCAAAAATAAGTTGCTAACATTCCTTGACGCTCTCATGACCTCTTTGCCAACAGGCCCCCTCCACGGCTCAGCCGCGCCCTTCCCAGCGGTGCTGTCTCGACCACCCGCAAGCTTGTTTCTGCAAGTTGTTCTGAATGAGAACTGGCCGGCTGCGGCCACCCAATGGGACCGACATGAGCAGTGTAAACTTAGTTACTGGATACAGACTCGAAATCATTCTTCCAGACCATGTGTATCATACTTTAGCGCCAGAAGATGATGAGGAGAGTCGACACCATCTGACTCTGCATGTTCCTGACACGGCTATGCCTCTGAAATACCAACAGAGGAATGTGCAGGATATTTCATGAACAGCTTCTGTGTCAGGATTCTTCTTTTTATTACGCACCCTCGATTGCATGGAGTGCAGTCATCTTCTCTCTCTGTTTTGTGGACTTGATTTCCCATGCTCTTTTGGACCAGCAACGACGGCCTTTGTCGGTCTCCAGCCCCGCTGGTTTCGTTGGGTCATAATGGGAGAGAATGGGAGCGTGCGTTAGGCGATCCTTCAGCTCCTTGGAAGCGGGCTGACAACACTCTGTCATCCATTCGAACACGATGTCGTTGTGGGGGAGTTGTCTCAGCGGGTTTGCAACACAGCTATAGTTCTTCAATGAATCTCCAGTAGGAGTTGCGGGAACAAAGGAGGGACTACACAGTCCTAGGACTGCCGTAAGTGCTTACCAGTTTGTGTTCACCTCCACTTTCGGCTGCCAGGGTTGGTTCCGGGGTGCTTGATACGCGTGTGTGTTGCTTGCACTTCTTGATCCTGGCCTACAATTCTACAACATGATGACGCATGATGGCGCATGATTGTTTGCTGAAGGTGGTCTTGATGGTATGTTTTTCCCCCTGAACGCTCTCTGGATACTGCCATGAGTCTTTGATCACCAGAGGGTTTCGTGGGTCATCCTCACAATAAGCCTTTCCTTTTTGCCATTCCTCGCTGCCTCAATGCGACGTTTGTCGACAATAGTGATTACCGGGGGGGTCGAATCCAAGCTGCTCTGGGCTCATGAGGAGGAACCCAAGAATGATGGTTATGAATCGGAGACTATCTGTGTTGATATCAAAGCTCTCTAATGCTATCCTACCCAGGCAGTCAAATTGCCACAGGCGGAAAAATGGCCCGCAGTGCGTGAGCCCCAGAACAAAACGACTTGAATCCTGAGCTGCCAGGACCTCTGTGGCGTAACCTTCCCAAGTCAAGGCCACATTCTTGAGAGGCTGTCATACTTGGGGTCATCCTTCAGTTCTCCGGGTATGAGAAAACCTAAGACCAGCGGCATATGGAGTCTTCGGTGGCACTTGGATCATTGACGAAGCCGACATCGACTTTGCGTGTTGCAATAAGTTCCCCTAGAGGCTGGGTGGGCGGCGCGAGAGGCCTCCAGTCAATTTTCTGAGCCGAGCCATGTGCCTCTGCAAACTGATCAAGCTCCTGATAACAAATTGGGTGTGTCATGTAGAATTTCTCTGTATCTTGAAGCAAGTCTTGTAAATGACTTAGGGAGTTGTTCAAAGGGTATTTTCCAATGGCGTTTCGATCGCCTTGCGAAAGGTTCGCCATATTAAACAGAGCGTTGTAAATTCTAGTATGTGGCCACTGGAAAGCAATAAGATCGCGGGAGTAGAGAGAGATACGTCGCTTCAGAGCTTTCCAGCAGAAGTACACTGAGTGTCAAAGGGTCATGCAGGCAAAAGGAGCGATGGACACAGAGGCATAAAAAATTCTCCCCGGAAGTTGTCTGACAATCACGAAGCCGGAGTCGACAGGGATGGAACTTTGGGCCAACGAGATGTAGAATTCAAGCGGGCCCGGATCGGGTTCTTGGAAATCCATCAAAGAGTTAACCATTTCCGGATCAGGGTAGGGTTTTTTTTTAAATTTCGGATTGGAATCACAAGAAATGTGCCACTTTATTTCTGTCGTTTGGTGCTCTAGCTCGACTGGACTGAATTTCCTGCTCCAGTAGCTGAAAGCGTGCCCTAATCAAGTTAAATAGTCGCCTCACGCCGCCTCGTTCGAGATAGAGAACCCTCCTCCTTCCAGCCGGCAGCGAAAGCGAGACCATGTGAACAGCCAGGAGATTTGCTGGCTGGAGAACAGGGCAGTCACAGTGAATGGGGCCTGGTGCCTAGCATATACAATAAAGCAGATACGGATAGGAAAGCAACCTGGCTTCCCATCATGGCCCACGCTGGTCGATGGGGGTGCAGACATAACCGTACCCATGCCAGGTTCACTTGGATGACACCTTCATGCGTTCTTCGCATGTAACAACTCGCACTGAAAGAAACGTCTGGCAGGCGGTCCGTTGGATGTGGATGAACGTACCATCAGTCTGGGCAACATTTCACGCTGATGAAGCCCATGGATATCGAGAAATGTTACGGACTAAGATATGCGCAACGGCAGCGGCAGGGAGGTTGCCGACATAGCGAACAAGCGAACATGCGAATATGTGAATATGTGAATATGCGAACAAACGAACGAGTGAACATGCGCACATAGCGGGCGCTATGGACTACGCCCCGGGTTGCCACCGTTGGATCCTAGCAGAACAGAGCGCGCTCGGTTGTTGCCATAATCGGGACATAGCAGGGCATTCCGAGCTTTGAAAGATGAAGACAGAAATTTGAAACAGGCTATCCATCTCAGCTCCTAAGTTATAATAATGTTGAAAAGACGGCCCTCGGAGTTCTGAGTTAACTATCCCTCCACGCATCCTTGGTTTGTAAGAACTAGCGACGGTTTTCTAAAGCCTGGGGTTAATTAAACGAAAAAACGAGGACCCGCACGTACGGGGTTGGTTTTATCTCGTATTCTTCCTTTTGTTCTGGCAGAAATCAAGAAAACAAGAAGACTGCGCAGACTGCGGTAGATTGTGTACATGTGAAGAAAGAGGGTGGGAACATGTCCAATATCTCAAAAGGCTGTTCTGTGGTGTACAGGACGGAGCAAGGAGTCAATGTATGAATGTGTAGTATCTGACCCCTGAGCCATGCTCCATAACAGTTTGACCACAACTGACTACTCTGATGAGCAAGGAAAAATCTCCAATATCCACAGCTAAAACAAACCATGAAAACAAGAAGGGAAACAAGTGATTTATTCCAAGAACAATATATATATATATATATAACAAAACGGGACTCGTTAAAGTCAACTATGTGGTTATGTATGTGAATGTAAACCAAAAGAAAAACCCAGAACAAGACATCGAAGAAACCAAGAAGAGAAAAGATATCCATCTATCTACATCGCCCTTCTTCGCAGGACACTATATACCCTCGATTGCAGCGGCTGGCATCTCTCCCCACCCTCGCCTCGCTTTTCTTGGGGAAACTGGAAGAAACAGATAGCCTCCAGCAAGATGACTACATCGTCAACGACTTAATTGTCAGATCTGAACAGTCCCGCCCTAGCTGTGCAGTCCATGCTTCTTCTGCGACGGATCTTCATCGAGTTTATCCTCGTCATCATAGAGATCTAAACTCTCAAAGTCATCACTGTCCCCTCCGTCAGTCTCGAGATCCTTCCCAGCATCCTCGCCCTTCCCGCTAGTTTTCAAAGCATGCTTCCTGTTCTCGTCCTGCCCGCTGGGCTCCAGATCATCGTCGCCATCGTCATCACCTGTGTCCAAGTCATCCGCACCGTCCGCATCCGCCTCATCGTCGTCCAAATCAAACCTGGAACTGTCATGGCTGCCAGATTTGAGAGAGTTCTCGTCGTCCTCCGCATCATCTCCGTCGTCCAGGTCATCGACTAGATCTTTGCTGCTAGGATTTGAGGCATGTCCGTCGGACAACGTATCTTCTCCGTAGTCGTCGTCATCGTCCAAACCCCCGTCCTCACCCCAATCCTTCCCGTCGATATCCAAATCATCCCCATCCGCTTCATCATCATCGTCGTCGTCATAACCATACCCATCTTCCCCGGCAGCTTTCAAAGAATTCACAGCATCATCACCCTGATCTCTCTCTCCAGGCTCTAAATCATCGTCATCATCGTCATCATCATCATCATCCCCACCCTTTCCGCTAAGCTGTAAATCATCGCTGTCCGCCTTTCCATCATCATCATCATCGTCATCATCATTGTCGTCGTCGTCGTCATCCTCTTTACCATCACCAGCCTTCCCATCTGGTCGCAGTTTGGACACCTCATCAACGCACAAGAACGAACCGATAGACAACGCACCCTCGGAGTATTTGGCAAAGACGACATCTTTGTCCTTACGGAAGGGCTCGCCTAGTTCGTCGCGACCGTGGGGGTCTGCGTACGCTTGGCAGTAGACCCCTGGTTCTTTGACAGATGCGCCATATCCGCTACTTACGGAGCCTGGATGGGGTAGAAGGAGGGTATATTAGTAAATAAGAATACAAATGTATATATATAAACGTGATACATATAGAAACACATTTAAGATCTGTATGTTTCTCAGGGGTTGTTCGAGTGACATACGATGTGTTCTCTCCAGCTCATCTAGCTTTACAACGAGATTAACATGTTTATCTGCAGCTGTCTTGACCTCGATCTGGAATAATGCCGAAGCGACGGCTGCGCACGAGGCGAGCAGAAAGCCCGTGGAGGCCTTCATTTTCACAGCCCTTCCCCCTTCCCGAGCTCTCTATGATTTCTGTAAGACGACGAGAGATTGGGTATCCACAACGAGAGTATAGAATGATGGCAATGAAACACGAGCGCCCTTTTTTTATACAGAGCAGATAAATCGAAAACAGGGGAGGGAATATGAAGAAGAAAAATGAAAAGAAAAAAAATCCACCCCAATAGCAATATGAACGAGAAACAAAACAGAAGAAAAATGTTAATCCGAGAATATTAAAGGAGGGTGAGTTTAAAGGAAAAAAATAAATAATAAAAAAAAAAAAAAAAAAAAAAAGGAGAGTGGATGCCAGGCGCGAAGGAGTTATATACGAGCCAATATGAAGCAATTCCCCGACTCCAAATGCCACCCGCACTGCCCTGTTCAATCTCACAGCCTGGCCGTCATTATTGGCGGATTCCTTGCTGCCCAGTCTCCAGTCTAAACGGTCTATTTTAGCAGTTCTGCGCCAACCTCTCGTGCCGAACAACCAGCCTTGAACCAGGCGGACGCTTTGCCCAGAGGCGCTAGATTTTGGCGGATCAGGGGTTGGCACCGTATTGTCGCCGGAGGAGCCCTAGACGGGGGGAAGAAAAGTAATCTCGCTGCGCCTATTCTTAGACATCGTCGCCCGCAACGACTGTCTGGAGGGCTTTAGGAGTTAGTCAAGTCTCACAGTCTCCCGCTCTGCTTCCATTAATAGTCTCGGGCGTTGGGTTTTCTTGCAGCGATGTTTGGGGCTGATGTGAGTATTTAGACGAATGATCAGTGCGTTTTTTGATGATTTTATTCGTGGCATTTCTGTTGTTTCACCAGTGATGGAGGAATAAAACATCCTTTCGATTCACAGGTTGACCTTCAACAAGGTATGTATGGTGTAGTAACTTAAATATTATTCCGAGTCCACTCAGCATCGAAACAAAAGGTGCAAATCACACACAGTCCGAGGCCATTCCCTCCCTAAGCAGAGGGACAAGTCAACCTGACACAACTCGCAAACCCAACCTATCGAAGAATAAAAATTGCAGCAAAAGATGAACATTGTGAAGTGTGAGATCTCTGCAACCTTGTCACAGAAGCCTCTGGTTCACAATTGGGGCGTTTTAGAAAAAAATCTAACGGCTGCAAACTGAGGCAAACCGTGTCCAATTCTCTCAACAGCCAGTTGTATTCATGATGGATGTGGTGTCTTTAAGAGCTTTTTAAGCATTTCAACCTTGCGAAATCTGAGAAAACCTAGCAGCAAACATTCTTAATCCTGGAGAGTTGAAAACGACCCCATCATCTGCTGCGTAGTTATGCGACAAGAGTGAGCACCGAGCACATTATGGTTGCAGGTGAGATCTTATCTTCTCTCTTCAACATTTCATGGAATTCTTTTCTCTCTTGCTTAATTAGCTTCTCCATAACATTATCCCCTGCCCAAATGTGCCTTTTTCTTGCCTTTCCTCTTGGAAAATTAGCTTTGCCTGTCTTTTTCAATCCCTTGCCTCTTCGCTAAGAGGATACCAAGTTGAATAAATCTCCAGAAGACAGTGAGCGCGCCCAGAGCTGTCTCCAGCACGCCATCCATTAGCAGTTGGAAATCCAAATTGACAGACAACAAGCCCCCGAGCAGATTTCCGCCGTTGTTTTTCCGTCCTTACAGACCAGCTAATGTAACAACGTGGCCTGGTAATGCATGACGCCTAGGTCTAATACAGAAATTGAACGCTTCGTTATCACCCCACAGTTCCTAGCTCCATAGACACTCGCAAGAACGACAGTCCCTGAATTCTCTAGGACCACCCTGATTGAGGGAAAGGGTTGGCGCTGGATGGTAGCTATCTCCCGATTGGAAATCTGGTGAAGTGCCCACCGAGTCTTGGAAGAGACGACCAAAATGACCTTGATCGAATACTTTAAAGGCCGAAAAATGCATTCCATTGCGGCTGCTCGTTCAGCAGGAAAAGTGTCGAGTTGAGGAGGCGCCTTACAACTTCTGGGGCCAAATGGTCTGCAGAGCTCCGAGTTTCCTTAGAATGCGTCAGCAGTAGATAACCGGATGTCTCTCATGTCATTGTTCTGTGTCGGGTCATTAAAGCTGCCTTTTTTTTGCCTCGCAGCAAATAGAATGTATCTACCACATAGATGTGCCGCTGCCCTGAACCGATATTGATGTCAAGCTGTCTCCGATTCGCACTTAGTTCTCGCCAGCTGTTTTGACCACCTGTGGTTTTCCTGGTATGTCAGCAAGGGAGGCCACGTATCGAAGTCTCGCAATCACCGTAACCCGGTCCAGTGCGGACAGAGATCTTCATTGTACTACTCAGAAGCTTGCTGTTGGGAATGATGAGACTGGACGTATTTCCCGTATGCAGGTGTAAAGTAGGTAGTGATTCATGTTGCACCTGGGCTACACTTATTATACATACCGACTTTCAGCCTCCACATCTAGAGATCTCCCATCTTTCCAAGCGCGGAATGAAAGGACAACATCGCCCGTGGCGCGAGAACCTCCCATCAACTCTACTGCAAACCCCATCACCCGTATGGGATTCCAACTCGGTCAGACAAGCCGGCCATGAACAGGGCAGCAGATGCCGAATTCGCGAACGGGAAATCAGGATTCTCTCCGCTCTCTTCGTCGGAATCATCCTCGACAATATTGTACAGAGAAGCCATGGCAGAAGATCCCGGGAGCTGGTTAGTATATATCTACGCAGTTAATGGAGACTGGCGTGGGCACGGAGAGAGAGGTGAATTAGTTCTACAGAAGGGGTTGGGAGAAGTAAAATCCAACTGAGACGACAGGACGCCTTTATAGATAGACAAATCTTCGCAGCCGCCAGCCCGAAAGCGCCAGAGCATCCCTGCACACTGTATATAAAATATGGGAAGGGATTATGTCCCGCGATAAATAGGGCGGTTGGAGACACAGAATCTTCTATGATCTATCTGTACGGTGAACTCCGCGCAACTAAACTTCAAGTCTGCGTGTCGCTTGTTCCCTGGATCAGGGCCAACCTTGTTTGTTTGCTTCAGATATTGACGAGCAGCATAAACTGAAGACAAGATCTCTCGGAATAGTAACTGCGGACGGTTATGTCTACCCATAACTTCACATCGTCCTCTTCAGGTCGAGTCCTTACTCCTTGAGGGAGCGATGCTAGGAATAACTATCGCGGGTTTGCTTAGTTATAGACAGCGGTTTGACGCTGCTTAACTGAATCCCGTTGGATCGGCGTGACAAAGAGGGCCCTGCTAAGCTTGACAATTCGATCAACAGAATGTGTGTCGCGGAAATCTGGAGTTAACAGGAGAGATTTATCTTCCGTGTGTGTTTCTCCCATCTCAGGAACATGCGTGTTTGTATCCGCGACAGGGCAACGATTCTTCAGGGCGTTTACTAACTAATCATAGAATCAGTTTACGGCCCGGCTGCCTTGCTTAACTACTATCTAATTTTTGGACCTGTTTCCGAAGCATGTCATTACAAGCACAGGATACATATGATGTTGTTTGGGATATGGAAACAGGTCTGGATGTGAGAGTAAAGGCGCTTCTTTAGAGAACCCTTTTGCAGAGGAATTCCATCCAAAACCTGATAAAAAAGGAATCCTTAAATACTGTCTTTATCTTCCTCCACCAAATACTGATATCTGTAGTTAGACAGACCGAAGGACAGCGGGGTATTTGACTCTCGCATTACAGCATCCTTCTGTATATGTGGTTTAGGCATCTAACACAGAGCAATGGGTAAAGCCTGTTACAGGCATCAGCGAAGAAACGCAAAACTGGTCATTTTTCTATAAACAGGGGCGCCTATCATTCATGCACGTTCTCCGCATGCCGGTAACCAACTATCCTGATAAAAGATACAAAATCGATCTTATCAGACAGTTATTTTGGCGTTGGACTTTATATGTGGACATTTCAAAGACTAGACGATCACGAAAACACCCTGAAAAAACTTGATTCTTTTCCCGTGGAATATTCAGCTTGATTCTCCATGGCCCTCAGTCACCAAATCGTGGAATGACCTTAAAAAGGAAAATAATAGAATATAATAGAATCGCGAGCGCAAATAGGACTGAGCCGGCTCTGAACATTCCGTAAGCGCATGAAAGAAAAGAGTTATAAAACAATTCAATTTCAGGAGGTGAAATATAAATACCACATGCTTTCGATTCGTTCCAGTTCCAGCAGCAACTTTCACAGAAAACCCTTCTTAGCAACATTGCCACTCCTCCCCCTCCCCGGCCGCTCTACACTTGGGCCATTGACGGGTGACCCCGTCGGCCAGGACGAGGACCATGCATCTCAGCCATCGTTCCACGTATTCCAAGCCCAGAGATGACTGTCGAGGCTATAAATGCAGCCCACAGGAACCAGAGGAAGGCTGTGGCCGCCTGCGCTTCACGGCAGCGCTTCTCCTGGTCGGGTGCGCCTCTGGTTATCGAGTTTGTGGAGGTGAAGGCCTACAAAAGATGGATCTGGCAGGTCAGTAAAATCCAGTCTTCTCAAAATCGCATGTTCCTTTTGGTGTAAAGTATTCTTCCCCCCCCCCTCTTCAACACCTTTCCCCTTCCTTTTTCCTTTCTTTTCTTTCTTTCTTTCTTGTTTTGCCTTTGTGTTTGCAACACGTACCTCGTTACTGCAATCACGCACGCGCAGCTTTAAGGACAGAGCCAACGCACCGCAGAAAATGAAGATGTCATTCAGCAAATCGACGAAGCAGACGACGATGGGGTGAATCATGAAGGACTCGCTAATGGCGGCGGCGGTTAGGTAGAAGAGCGTCAGCATTGAAAATGCCGATACGAATAGGATGTAGTTCACTGATGCCGCGCTGCCGTGGAATGCATCTGCTATCATATTGCCGATGAGAGCCATGATGATTATCGTGAAGAACCACTGTGTGGATTCAGAGTGCTTCAGCAATCAAAATTTCCCTCCTATGTTTTGAGAAATTCGCCGTGCGATGGAGGCCAAGGGGTGGTTGTTCTTGGTAATGCATACCTCGACACCCCGAAGGGCTATGTTGATCATCCTCAATGCCATTGTGATTGTATTTTTTGTGCGCACGCTGATGCCCAGATGCTAGAGACGTGTATACAGCAAACACTGTTTCCCAATCTGATAATATGACGCTATGGCCCGTATGCAGAGAAAATGTGAGATATCAAATATCCGCTTGTAGTGCCAGTAGAGACGTTTGGTTAATCATACTATAGGTAGTTTCAGAATCCCCGAAGATCAGAAATCAGATCGCTGAATTGAAGTCGAAAAGCAATGTTTAAGGAGGCGAATAACAGTCCTGGAGCAAAGGGCCAGTGGGCGGGCAAACAGACTGGACGGGAAGCCATTTAAGATTGCAGTCCATGTAGGCTACGTCATATCGCTTCCCTTTCAGCTTCATCCTGGGAGTTTTGAATTAAGGTTGTATTTGCCATTTTGCAAGCTTTTCTTTTCCGATCGGAATTCAATTGCAGCCCGAGCCATTGCTGGATTGTCGGGGTATTTGCCATCAGTGATGTGGTCTAGATGGCCATGATGTCATACCACGTGTGGTTACGAGCTGGGAGCTTGGGGTTCAGGCCACAAACTTTCCAAGTCGCAGTTGGTTATGAAGTCGAGCAGGGCCTTGAATGTTTCGTGATTATATCATCGTATGCGAAACTTAAGTCTTACCCGTGTGGGCTGTTGTTTGTTCTGCTGCGTCGGGTCTCGATCGTGATCTTCGGCAGTGAAGGACGTAGTTAACTCAACTGGCCAATTGTTTGCGTCTCCCCAAGAAGAAGAAGAAGAAGAAGCAGAAGATGAGGGTTCTTAACTCGGAGACCTGAAGGCCCCCGTTTATGTCTAAGCAGGAAAAGTCTCAGGTTGGCAAGTCTGTCGAAAATGAACATTTTAACTACATTGTTGTGCTTGAATCCTCCAACCGGCTGCTGTCACATGTATCACAACCAAGAACCAGCCCCATCGTAACATTCGACAGGAGTGATTTCATTCGATATCTCGGTTTTCAGCATGTAGAGGGCCCATATTCTACCGAATTATTCTGAAACCCCGAACGTCAGAGCAGGGTGGTCTGCCAGCAAACAATCCCTGCAATAAACATTTAGTTGAAAAAGTCAAAATCTGATGCAAAGCTGGGTGCTTATCTAGCGCCGTGCAAGGTGCCGCCGCCGGAACCAAAAATCAAGATTTAAGAGATGCAACTCCGTCGCCTGTGAAATCCGAGGAGGTTTATCTGCTCGAGTCCTGGCCCGAAGGGGAAAGGTTCTTGGACCATGTGGTTGTTCACGTTTGACGTCTTATCGATGTCGTTAATCACATGTGGGCTGGAGGGTGAGGTTGATCTGAGATGTTTGAGATGTTCTTTTCATATTGTCGAGAGGGCGAAGTCTTGAGCTTTTGATATGATGGGGACTATTGGGTGATTGGTTGGTAACCGGAGAAGGAACCGCGGCATTAATTATCATAGGACGATATGAAGCTTGTTGATTCGCCCAGCGAGAGGCAAGAGTTCCAAGTTCAAAAAGAAGCAGATTCTTGAGGAATACGTTTATGCCTTCTTCCCGGAGGAAGAAAGCGGAAAAGAGCCAGAGTTATATAAGATCGGGGCTGGCTTCCATCGCCGTACAAAGCGCCATTATTACAAATATGCTGTTAGATCTCTACAGATATTCATGCCTTCTGGTTCAACCATGAACCCACAGGCCTCGAAACGAAACTAACTCTTTGATCAGAAACCAAGTCAATGTCTTCAAGGTCAAGAACAGGACAGCGAGGAAGAGGCCATCAGAGAGAAGATTAAATGTTCGTCACTGCCCTCTATAACCTACATCCCAAGCTCTCCAATCCATGACCCTTGCTTGTGCAAATTACAGGATAAGATGAGGCAAGGGAGGGAGGTGAGAGGTGGGCAGCGATGCAATGTAGACATTGATAACATACCTATTCAATGAAGTCTGTGTCCATGTTCGGGCCTAGCTGCACGCCCTGTACAGAGAGAGCTCCTATGCAGACGTGACACTGCCCATCCTTTGCTTTCCTGTGGGTGGTTTTTTTTTTTTTTTTTTTTTTTTTTTTTTTTTTTTTTTAATATTCCGTTTCATTCTTTCAGATCTGCATCTCCGTATGTAACATCAAAAGTAAAATTGTCATGGCAATTGCGAGAAGCAAATGATATCGAACATCGAAAAAAGTCTTAGTACTTAAAATAATATGTCCATATCTCAAAGATGTCAACCCCACCAAACCAACCAGCCAACCGCCCACCCCATCCGCAAAAACTAAAGAAAAGAAAAAAGGCTTGTATAATCATCACGCATGCAAACTACAGCATAGCATAGCATAGCATAGCATAGCATACACATCTTGATATGAAAAAGATGGGGGTCATCAAGGCATTAAAAGCTTGCTATCAGCGTATTAATAAGAAAAAGAAATGAAAAGAAGAGAGGGAGAGAGAGAGAATAAGTTTTAAGTGGGCAACCGGTAAACTAAGCCAGGCAAAACACCCACCAAAGACTGTCAAACACAGCATCAGGGGGAAAGGGGAAAAGGGGAAAAGGGGAAAAGAGGAAAAGGGGGAAAAAAGGGGAATTGGCAAAACGATCTCAACTCGCAACAGCCAACTGTGCAACAAGGTCCGACGCAACATCCAGGAACGGATAGGGACTGGTAACCTCCTTCTCCCGATTCCGAATCCGCTTGCTGGTAGGCTTCCACTCACCACCACCACCACCACCACCACCATCCTCATTCTCAACACGTATCACATTCTGATACCCATCGCACTTAAAATCGACCATGAAATTGTTCGCCAATATAACTCAGCATTGAGTGTCAATTAGCTTGGCCTTCATATTCACATGCCAGAAGAGGTAATTCAAAGATCTGACCAGAGTGTTCAGCTTGGTGGTATATTTAGTATTCTGTTTGAACTGGCTGATCACCTTGCCGATGCAGCTATCTGAGTCATAGAGGTTATATTGCATTTGAGACCTCAAGTTCAGATCTCATGCTG